TTTGGATTGTCTTGTTGGTCGCCGGCTCGGCAGCGGCAGCGGGCGCTTCTTCCTCTTCTTCTTCAGCCTCATCTTCACTGTCGTGGGCTGACCCGTCGGAAACAGGCTTTGCAGGGGTGTGCTTGGCGATCCACTGCTCCTTCTTTGACCAGAGATTCCTGAAGATGCTCTCCAGTTCCTGTCCATTCTCGTAGACAGGCTGACCGGGCTGATTGAATTTGAAGCAGTTCTTGAACACCTGCTTGACGTCGCCCTGGAATTCCTTTGCTGACTGATAATCAAAGTTCTTCAGCTTGCCCATGATCGTACCAAGGTCCATGGGACGTTTGATGATTGTGAAGTACGTAGGAATTGCCAGAGCAACAGGGTCGACAGGGTGCAGAAAGGCGAAGTTGATCTGCGCGTGCTTTTGATCCATCAACTCGCTCAAGACCTCGTAACAGAACTGAAGCTCAATGGAGAGTTTCTTCTTGTTGAAGTTCTTGGCTGTGTAATCAGGGTCTCTGTTCTTGGTAGGCTGAATGGCGCGCTTAGGTCGGTCAAGGTCATTCTGTGTCGATGCACGTCGAACCTGAGGCACACCACCAGGCGGGACCGCGTAGGCTTCCGTCTCGGCTTTCGCCGGAGGGCTTGCAGCAGTTACACTAGGCTGTCTGCGGACTGGCGGCGCAGGCGCGGGTGTTCGGGTCTCGGAGTGACGAGACGGCTTGGGTACTGGCTTCGACTTCGCTGGTTCATCTGAGGGGACCTCCATGACACGGGTCCAGGCCAACCGAACAACATTGAGAGCCGCTGACGTTATCTCGTTGTTAACACCGTTGAACGTGCAGGAGTTCTTGTAAATCAAGCCGAGGTCGTCCTTGAACTTGCGCAGGGAGCTGTACTTGTTGTCGCGCAAATTGCGCTCAAGCTCGCCGATATCCATGGGATTCTTAACCCGCAAGATGTAGCTGTCGGCTAGACTAGGCCACATCTTGACAACAGCATCCTTGAAGTGACCGCCATGCTTCGTCTTCTTCACGCCAGCTAAAACTTTACGGAATTCGCGTATTTGGTGTGAAGTCAACGGCTTGGGGTCGCGCTCGGGATCGTTCCACAGGGGAAGGGTGTCGAGAGCAGACTCGCCCATAGCCAAATCGCCCTGCGGCTTGACTTCGACAGTGGACTCAGCGGCACGGGCCTCTTGCGAATCGGCATTCGACTCGGTCTTGGCTCGCTTCGGTGCAGGCTCATCAGCGGCGTCTTCTTCTCGCTCGCGAGAAACCTTGCTCGCTGGGGGTGCCTCGGTCATGGGAACGTCGTCGTCCTTGGGAGCTGGAGACTTTGCCTTGTCATGGTCAATTGCAAGTTGTGACATGCTTGCAGGGTGAAGATCTACCTCTTTGACTGCAGCAGCCGGCGCAGGTGACGACTCCTCCTTCTTTGCCCCATTGACCTTGTCGTCGTCCTGGCTCATCTCGACATCTTCCTTGGCATCTGTCGCGCTCTTGGCGGGTTCGGATGCCTCAGCCGCCTTCTCCTCTGGCTTCTTCTCCGACTTCTCCTCGGGCTTAGATTCAGGCGCGTCGGTCATGTCGACATCCTTTGCCGGCTCGGCAGCTGCGGGACTGTCGGACTTGGTCTTCTCTTTCTCCTCGTCCTTCTTCTCGTCCTTCGAGTCATCCTTATATTCTTCCTTCTTTGCGTCGTCTTTCGGTGCGTCGTCGGACTTATCGGCCTTGGGCTCCGCGGGTGACTCATCCGGCTTCGCAGAGCCCTCCTTGGGTGCAGCGTCGGCATCCTTGGCGGAGCTCACATCGGCTTCAGCGGGTTCCTTCTTCTCGTCATCGTGCTTGCCGTTGCCATTGACGGTGGGCTTCTCAGACTCGCTGGCCTTTTCGGATGGTGAGGCGTGGCTGCGAAAGACATCAGTTCCATTGTTGGATACACGCAACTTTGCGCCATGACGCGCCAGACTCGTATCGAGTGCGACGCGCAAAGACACAGCTCTAAGCATTACTTACCCGTTGGTCTCCGGCTTGCTCTCCTCCTTTGTAGGCGTGGACTCGACTGGTTTCTGATCCGAGGTGGCGCGTTCTGACTGAGGTGACGCCATGACTGCCATGTGGTGTTTGCGATGAGGATAGAATTATTGTGCGCGACGCGACATCAATGGCGGCGCGCGCAAAGTTGGATAAATGCGATGCGACAGGCTGATGATGACTGTGGCGGTGGTTCGAATGTCGTTGATTGACGACGCGATCGGGGGTGAACGAAGACAGCGACTCTCCTCAATGGGATGGAAGGTGCGGTCTCGGGTTCTCGTGATGAGGAAGGCGAGGGTGCGGCGAAGGCGCAATCGCGGGGAAGCTACCGTCGCAAAGGATGGAAGCTTGGGAAGGAGCGTCGCGATCCTGGATCGCGCATGCAACTCGGGCAGGAATGACCGGGAAGTGGCTAGCGTGAAAGTCGCGACAACCTCGGGAAGAATATTCGCGAATGCGCCGGGGATGATTGCAAATGCGCAGGTAATTATGCGGCTATGCAGATCGATGATGCTTGAATGCGGCGACCTGATGAGGCGGTGGTGGTGGATTGGTTGATCCGGCCGATTTGCGACGCGCCCAGTAAACGGAAGGTGCAGTGTCCGTAGGTTTTTTTTGGCGATGCGATACGGTTCGGGAGGGTGGAGGGACCTGGGCGGAGGAAATCGCGTGCACGTCAGTGGTTTTTGGCCGAGATGGCGGCGCGTGCTATTTATGAGAAAGAGAGAATTGGGGGTGGTCCCCGGACAGCCGGTTATCTGGCCTTATCGGGGGGCAGCGCAATCACGCAGTGCTTCAGTCTTCAGAAGGGGTGCGGCCTGAAAACAGTGGCAGAAATGAAAAAACAGTGGCGTAGCGTTGGGCAGGAAGGACCTGTGCAATGAGAAGCAGGAGGCGGGAAGGGTCAGAGAGGAGAGGTGGTCAGTGCGTCTGGGTGATCGACGACTAGGGGGAGGAGGAAGAGAGCAGGAGGTCCGAGGGAAGAAAAAAAAGAGGGAAGAAATCGCAATTTTGCGAGAAAATGGTTGGAAGAGCAAGTTGAAGGGGACGCGGGTGACCGGGGGGAGGGGGCCCGGGAGGGTGACATAAAAATGCAGATTTATGCACAGAGTGGAGGCACTAGCCAATGAGGAGGCATCCTGCAGCCCGGATCAGGACTAAAGGCGCGAGGCTGGGAAATGTGACGGGGATGGGGGCGTGGAACGGGATGGATATGAATGTGTGATGCGAAGCGGGAAGCCGAAACGGAGTGAGAGAAAAAGAAGGAAAGAGAGGGAAACCGCACTCACCTCGAAGTGAATCGGGCTGGTTTGAGAGCGATGGAGCTGCTCCTTCGTTGAAGTCTTGGAAAATAGTATCTAGATGCACAGCAAAAGATACAGTCAGTAAACAGGCCAGTTGCGAGATGTGGCTGATGATGAAGGTGTAAGTGCGGTGAGGCTGGTGCTGCGTTGCGGTGCGGTGAGAGGTGAACATGAAGTGGACCAGCCAGCGCAGCGAATGCCAACGCGCCAGATTCCAGCCAGGAAGCGACATCAATCAGCGGCCAGAGAAAACAGGAGACGAGAAGTCCATGGCATGTTTGTCATTTTCTGAGTGTACATAATGATAGAATGTTCTGTGTAAGGTACAGGCTAAGATTGGCGGTAAAGCCAACACCAACACTGTCCGTCGCAAGGAAAAAGAGAAAGAAGAAGGATAGCAGCGATGCAGCAGCAGATGCAAACGCGAGGAAAGAGTGACGCGACACGACTGCTGCCGCATTGCGCAACGCAACGGATGCGACAGAAACAAAAATCGGTACGTACCGGAAGGATGAGGAAGCAGCTGGTTGGCAGCAAGTCTGGAACGGAGCGCAGTCGAGGACTGTGAGTGGCTGGCGTTCGGCGGTCTCGTGACAGATCAGATGACTGCGAGCTTCGTGGAATTTTTCCAGGACTTTTTCGCATCAAAAGGCGCGAATTTTAGGAATCGGGGCCACTTCTTATTTGTAGGAACCCGCCAAGTCGCGCTGACCCCTGCGGGAGCTTGACGGTCTACCCTGGCAAGGGTAATGGACAGGGATGAAAGCACCGTTTTGACCCAATCACCGTGTCGGATGACGCTAAAGCGGGGCTTGATGAGACAAATACGGCATAGCACCTAGGGACGGCTTCACGCCTGCCTGAGCAGCGCGTCGTCCAATGAGAAGCTTCCGTAGTTCTGATTGTGGGTAGTTGTGCCCTTTGAACCAATCAGACCTGCGTTTGGTTGAGGTCCTTCTCGAGGACCGGCGTGCTCTGCCCGGCCTGAGGCTTGAAGACTCCCGCGTTTTCGCGAATGGCTTCCAGCAGATTTTTAGGCTCTACGCACAGCCACCGCGTCTCATTTGAACCCGCGTTTGAGGCTCAACAGGTTTGCACCATTGCCATGGAGAGCAAACGGGTCAACCATTTGATGGAAAAGTCACGAGTAGGGGATGGCCGCCATGGAGCAGTACACCATTATGGATAGCATGAGGGGAAATGTTTTGAATGAACGGGGCAGAATGAGCGCGTAGCATTATGGAGCTTGATGGAAAGTCATGAAGGTCGCAGGTGAGAGCGAGTTGACGAACGCAAGGAGGGAGGGTGACATGTGCAGAGGTCCGGTTCCGCCATGTGATGACTCTTCTGTCCGTGCATCTGCCTGGACCCTGAGAATCGGCCAAACCCTTCTCCTTCTCCGACGGAACCAGGTTCCATTGACGCTGCCTTACCTAAGCTTGCATTCCTAGGTCGGCAGGTACGATCGTCCAAGTCCCTTACGTCAGCATCCCCCGCGGGCGGTCATCCGCGCCAGACGAAAAAAAAATTGGCGACCGGCAGAAAAAAAGTTCAGGTTCGTCGCTGTCGTTGCTGGAGGCGTGAGGGTCCCCCCAAAAATCAACAATTTTCCTACCTTCTTCCACCAATCCCAAGATACCCCCCCTTCCCTTCCGACCGAACAATCGCCATAATGTCTGCGAAGAGAAGGTCGTCCGGCAAGTTCGCGCCGCCAGTCGTCAAGCCCTCGATCCGAGCTCCCAAGACGACAATCGACGAGAGCAGAGCTGCCGTTTCCGCGACAGATTCGCTCCAAGCCGCCGTCAAGGGCGACGCCGAACCAATCGAGATCTCGTCCGACGAGGACAGCGAGGAGGATGCCTCCGACGAGGAGATGGAGTCGCCCGACGCCGAGGCCGAAGCGAAGGAACCCGTGAACGGAGCTGAAGAAGAGACCGCCGAGAACCAAGCACAAAAGACGGACGCCGCCGCCGCAGAGTCGGACGATGAGGCCGGATCGCCCAGCTTCGGCGAGCTCCTGCGCGGCACGATCGACGTCCCCGCCATCCTCGCCCAACAAGAAGCTTCCAAGGAAGTCGTCCCCAGCTCCTCAAGAAAGAACCTCGCCGCGCCGTCCCTATCATCCCTGAGCACCGTCCTCACCCAAGCCCTCAAGACCGAAGACAACGACCTGCTCGAGTCGTGCCTGCAAGTCAACCAGGTCGCGACCATCCAGCAGACGATCGAGCGCCTCGACAGCAGCCTCGCCGGCGTCCTCCTCACCAAGCTCGCCGCGCGCTTCCACAGGCGGCCCGGCCGCGCGGGCAGCCTCATGGTGTGGGTGAAGTGGACCCTCGTCTCGCACGGCGGCGCCCTGGCTGTGCAGCCCAAGGTTCTCGAGCGTTTACTCGCGCTGCAAAAGGTCCTCAACGAGCGCTCGCGTGGCCTGCCTAGTTTGCTGGCGCTCAAGGGCAAGCTCGACATGCTGGAGGCGCAGATGAGCATCCGCAAGGAGCGGACGCGCAGGAGCCGCCACGCACGTCACGACGACGACGACGATGAGGATGACGACGAGGATGAGGAGGACCTGAAGGAGAAGGAGGCCGCTATCTACATCGAGGGCGAGACCACGGGCGCCGAGACCAACGGCACGGAGATGGCGCTGCTGGGAGACGAGGACGACGACGAGGTCCCCACGACGAACGGCTTCATTGGCGACTCGGATGACGATGACGATGATGAGGAGCCCGTGGTGGAGGACGACATGAGCGATGCCGAGGAGGTCGATGACGATGAGGAGGTTGACTACGACGATGTTGAGGAGTCTGATGACGATGACGACAGCGATGCGGAGGCCGCGCCGCCGGCCAAGGTTCAGAAAACTGCTTCTTCTTTCGCGAAGAGAAAATGAGAGGGGTGTCGCGATGCATAGAGGAAGGGGGTAGAACGGCACATAGACTTGGCTCGGTCGACAATTGACATAATATTGTGCAATAGGGCGAAAAAGCTGGTTGTAGGAGTTTCGGTAAATCAATTGGTTATCTGGTGAACTGTTTGTAGACAATGAGTTTCGAGTGATGTTTGCGTGACTGTTTGCGTGACTGTTTGCGCTTCAGCCCTTGGTAACCGAAGACGTCTCCTTGCCTCGAGTAAACCCCAATTGAGTCCTCAGCAAACTGTTCTACTAACACCTCCCCATGATGTCCCATCTCCGATGTTGGTCTCTGCGCTCCTGCAAGCCCGCCGTGTTTCCGGTCTGCCACACCGATATCCCGGCTCACCGGATCCAAAGAGTCTCCACATTCCCGTTTTGGGACACGGAGGCACCAACCTCCATGGTCCAGATCCACCGGCGATCCCCTCTACAACCACGTTCCCGCCAACCAGGCGCGCAAAATGCAACCTCAATTCAACTCAATTGGCCTTCTGACCAGTGAGGGGAACCGGAAATCATGATCTTGGGGAAGCTTGTTGGTATTTTAGCGCGGCCGGGGTAGCTCTCAACAGACATAAAAATGCGTCTTCAGCCCCCGTCTTCGCAACTTCACCTCAGTGTTCTGTTGGGCTACTCACTTTGTCACCAGAATTCCTCCAAATTGCCCCTCTCAAATAACACAATATGCGCTCAATCCTCGCCTGGGCCGCCACCCTGCCCCTCGCAACAGCAGCATCCCTCCAACAAATAACCTCCTTCGGCCCCAACCCCACAAACGTCTCCTTCTACCTCTACGTCCCGGACTCCCTCATCCCCAGCGCGCCCCTCCTCGTCTTCCCGCACTGGTGCCACGGCACTGCGCAGGACGCCTTCAACAACAAGCCCTGGCGCTCCCTCGCCGACACCCTCGGCTTCGTCACGATCTACCCGTCCACCCCCTGGACCGCCGACTACTGCTGGGACGTCTCCTCCCCGCAGACGCTCTCCCATGACGGCGGCGGCGACTCCCTCGGCATCGTGAGCATGGTCCGCTGGACGCTCGCCAACTACGACGTCGACCCGGACCGCGTCTTCGCGCTGGGCACGAGCTCCGGGGCCATGATGACGAACGTGCTGGTCGGGGCGTACCCTGATGTGTTTGCGGCCGGCGCGGCGTTTGCGGGGGTGCCGTTTGGGTGTTATGCCGCGGACGGGTATGATGTCTGGTCTGATGATTGTGCGAGCGGGCGGATTACGCATACCGGGGAGGAGTGGGCGGAGATAGTGAGGGCGGCGTATCCGGATTACGGGGGCCCGAGGCCGAAGATGCAGGTGTTGCATGGGGATGTGGACAATGTGTTGAATGTGACGAACTTTTACGAGGAGATCAAGATGTGGACTACAGTGTTGGGAGTTAGTGAGACGCCGACGAAGGTTGTGGAGAATAATCCTGTTGCCAACTGGACGAAGAGTGTTTACGGAACGAGGGGGCTGTTTGAATCGTTTTTGGCGCATGGGGTGGATCATAACATTCCGGATCAGCCTGATGAGGTTATTCGGTTCTTTGGTCTGGACTGTGTTGGTGAGGGGTGCTTTTCGAGGAAGAGCTTGCCGGTACCTGGGTCTTGTATGAAGAGGCGGAATGATTGGAGAAGATAAATCCAGGATCCTTCCCACGGGAAAAAGACGAGACAGGTTTGACAACAATCAAAAAGCAATCTGGCCCTTGTTGAGTAAATAGATAGCAATTTTCAGAACTACTGGCCAAACGGCTACTTGCGATTGATGGGTGTAATTCATCACTTCGAAATAAGGCCGCGAACGTGAAGCTAATAATGGTAATAAACGCATGCCAAGGGTCTTGGCCGAGCCGCGCCACGAGGAGTCAGGACATGATGCCGATTCTCTATCATCCTTCCAATATTTATGCTGGGTATCGACAAGCACACTCCGGTCTAAAACTAACTTTGTAGGTTGTCGAAGTAATTGACGGTTTTCCTCAATCATAAATGGGAAGGCTTTCCTCACCTGGAAAAGTTTCGATCACCGGATATCCATATAAGGAGAGTTTCTGCAGTCTTATTCAAAATCCCCATCTCGGCCAGTTAGCTAGCTACTTTGCTGGTGGACAGTATGGAAGAACGGATTCAAATCGACCATTTTGTCTGAGTAGTGCTATAATAGTCCCATGCTCATCAACTGTCTAAAGTGATCCCCATCATATGTTTCCACCTCTGCTACCAAATGATCCAGCTCACAAGTTCTTTTGCTTCTTTCAGTGATAAAAACCTTGCGAATCTGTCGCGCGGGACTTATTGGACAGGGCTGCCCTCCGCAGAGACTTTCACCTGTACATTCACTGAGATGCATTTCTGCAGGTGTTTGTTGATACCCGGTCCAACTGCCGCCTCCGTAAACTTGTGCATGCTTTGATTGGCGAAGCTATCGAGGATATCTAGACTATGAAAATTTGATGCCTATAGTAGCTTGACAACCTCATCGCACACATTAGCGACATCCTCTTGTTTCCCTGTTGACCTTTTTCATCGTTTAGTGCACATGTTGAGGGATTGATTGTCAACTGGCAGTAATGCGTGATCCTGTCATACGTGGCTTTTCCACTAGAAAGGCTGACCGAGGCACCTCATCATGAGTTCTTAATCATGCCTTCCATAACAAAAGAGATTGTTAAATGGCTATACCAGCTTGACGATGCGAGTTCCTCCCATAATTCCTAAATCATTACGCAAAGCAAAATCATGGAGAAGTGAAGGATGTGAAGACCAATAAGGGCATCCAATATACTCATCCTCTTCCTTTGGCTCTCTCTCAAGCATCTCTTGAATGTTCTCGCCAGTATGAGCCGAAACATGTCCGAGGGCTCGCAGATTAGACCAGAGTTGCCTGAGCTGCCGGTTGGCTTTGAAGAACGCATTGGTAAAGGTGGATCCTCGGCATCGCACCTTGATCCAATCACCGAGATATAAACCTATCATCGAGTGATTGAATGTCCAGTCGACATTTACGGTACTAAATTCCCAAGTATGGTTTAACTGTCCCGGTTGAACGAGCCGTATCCAAAGCTTTTGTTCCCTCCAAATATGCTGTTTGAACGTGAAAACGACATAATCCGTTTCCAACACCACACCTTCGATGTCGTAGCAAAGCTTGAGATAGGTCTCCTCCAAAGCCAAATTAGGGGCTGCCTTTCCGATATGTTCCGTAACGGCAAGGCGTGCATACCGCTCAAGTAAGTCTCCGACTATTTCGACATGGGGAAACAACAACCGAATCAACCCATCTTTGTCATTGGAGCCAGTGAAGTCGAGCTCCTTCTTGCACAGGTCTCTGACAGCTTTCAGAGTGCAACTCAAACTTGAATGCAAGTCTTCAAGGGGAATGGTTTTGTTCCGATGCACGTGTCTCCGCGAAGTATCACATTTAGAGTCGCTCGCCTTAACCTCACCAATAACTATTTGAGGGCAAGCGGCAACGAGTTGAAAAGAATCCTGGGTCCCGAGGACGGGGCGTAAAATCAGGTAGGTCAGGTTTCTCGGGTACAAGCTCGAGTTGTACACGAATAACTGCTCGCTTCCCAGAAAGTCCAGCTCGTCCAGTAAGTGGCTTGAAAAGATGTATACCGGATACATACGATGGGGCCGAATCCTAAAGATATGATACTGATTATGTTTGCCGACGCGGGCTGGCTGTGACTTGATGGGCATATACTGCGCGACGTTGATATACAACGCCCCTGTATGGCTGCAGACTTGGTCTTCAAACTTTCCTGGTCTAAAACCCCATCTATTTTCGAGCCAATGTGATTCGAATGTGTATTGTTCTGGCACCAGCTTCCTGTGAAGTTTCATGGCTCTAATTAGGTCCACGGCCTCATCGCCTCTAAGGTCTGAGTTCCGAAAAACGCGGCGCCACTCCTCTTGTGATCCCCATTCTGGAACCCAAGAAGGACACTCATTGCGAGCTTTCGTTCCACAGGCTGCGTAGAGAATTTGGTCCCAACCAGAATTCAAAAGACAGTGAGCAAATATGCCGATAAAGACATGTTGACACGATAAAGAGTAGTCTGCTTGTAGCTCACAGTTTCGTGTATGTGAGAACAAATCCTCTTCAGCTTGGGCAATTCCCAACAAGCCGAAAACGCGATCACGGGGGTCTGTTGCTTCAGCATCGGAAGTCATCTTCAGGAGGCGTGATATGTTCTTCTCAATCTGAACAGCCTGACACATATACCCGAACCATTCTGCGGCGCTATATCTCCATGCCAGAGAAGTGTACAGATCCGAAATTTGGTTTGCCGTTGAACCGTCAGCCCAAAAGTCGATATCCCCTATCCGGATAAAGGCCTGGCAAGGCAGGAGAAGCTCTTGAATTACCCATATGCGAGAAAAGTATCGTCGCTCAAGTAAACTTGTGAGAGTCAAGGGTAACTTCGGTTGTTGATACATGTATCCAGAGAAATTCGGCACTGCGGATCCCGATTCAAGGTCGCGCAGTGGATGGCGGCGGGGATGCCTCCCATCCAAAGGAGTAACAATGTCAGACCCAAGGTATACGATGACACGAGTACATCCAGAGTAGACCCGGCCCATATTAGCAACTTGCTGACTTCTTTCAGGCACATCTTTCTGATTGATACAGACAGCGTCGACCCATACCATACGAATCCCCCGCCATGGCCGCATGAATCGAAGCATGTCCCAGCAATTCTTCGTTTGAAAGAGGACGTCCCAGAAAGAACCGACGTATACTGGGTAGCATAGAGTAGTATCGTCATTTTCGCCTCCCCAGAGGTAAGAAACAGCTTCGTATTCGGGGCAGTTGTCTAGTTCGTAGACTTCTAGTTCCAGGTGGACCGGAAAATCATGACTTATAGCTGCGGACAGAACAGCCAGTCGAATCTCTGTGGGCTTGAGAGATTGGGGATATATGGTCGATGGTGCTGACATAGCAATCGTAGTTGTTGCTGTCCTGTCTGA